GAGCCCATGTAACCCCTGGTGCACGGGATGCATCAGCATAAGCCATGACTGGAAGCCTTCCAGTTCACACTTACGTACTGGGAACCACTATGATGACAGAAAGTCTGGCATAAATAAAGCCTAAGCTTTCTTTTTTCGCAGATCAGTAGAGCAAGCAGAGATAAAAGCATCAACTCACCAAGGCTCCTCTGTGCTGTCTAGTACTATTTTCTTCCTACCTTGACTTACAACATTAACACACCTATATAGATATCTATCTTAAAACTCTTGGGGGATAAAGTGAGGCTCAATACATCAAGTCTTACTATTTTTTAAATACAGATGTGTCTGAGTAGTATTGAACTAAATCCAAATTCAGAGTATAATTAAGCCAGCATTCTAGAGGTACTATTTATTCTAGCATTATTCATAGCAACACCTCTTTTGAAACTTAAATAGCAAGAAAAGCAACTCTCATCCATCATTTTTTAAAAGGGCCAGTAAAATTAGAAGGAAAGTGTCAGTACATTCATTTTCCTCTAAAAATCATGCCTATTTTTCCTCTTGCTCCACAAGCAACTGAGAGACGAGAATGTCTTGATGCACACAAGCTGAATTTGCATTTATTCATCCTATATTTCTCCACACTGCCCTCCAATACTTGGGCACACAAGGGTATAAGAATGACACAAGTCATTAAAACTGCCAAGACAACATAAACTATTCTTCTCCAGCATGTCTCACCCTCAGCCCTCCAAGTCGCGTGAAAGCCACCATGCAGTCAACTTTTCTGTGATCTTTTTGATTCAACGCCAGAATACTCTATTCATTATGCCCTCCTGCTGAACATCCAGCAGATTGCCAAGAGAAAAATCTGCATCGTACGTGCTTCCGATAAGACCAGCAGTAATTTCCCTCTGTGCTTTTTCCTCTAAGGCTGGAGAGCAAGGCAAAAGACACTATCCACAGAGGTGCGATCTCAGGAGAGAGAGGGAAGGCCGAGGAGCACCACATTCATGCCAGCCCTCAACAGCCAATGGATGGAAGTCAGCCCAGCTTGGCATTCAAAATACCCGTCTTTGCCCCTTTCCGAGACCCTCACGGCTGTTCCTCCTGAGGAGCTTGGTGCAATCCCCAGAATCAGTGGCTGCCTTTGCTAAGTCAGGGATCTGGCACTAACAAAACACATGGAGAAAACTCTCATTTTACCAAGCCTGCTTAGGCCCAAAACTGTCCTGCAGGAAGGAGGTGGCACAGCCAGTGCACTGAAAAGCAAGAGCCCCTTATGCAGCTTGCAGCAACAGCTCAATGCCAATGAAATAGCCTCCTGTGCCCTAAGGTATCCTGATGCCACTGAATACTGGGCATGAGGTCTATTGCCAGCTCTTGTGTGGGTTTTCTATTCCTGCATCTATCAGTTCATTATTGCTCCAAATTTATAAAAGCGCGTTGTAAATGTGGTTCTGCAAGAGAGCTCAGGGAAGTCAAACCACACATTTACCCCGAATGTTTTAGCTCATTCTGAAGTAATTTTTTATTGCATTTGGCACTTCACGAGATGCCACCCTTACCTCTTTTCGTACAAATTGCAAGTAACAAAGAGATGGTTAAAACATCCATTAGTTAAAATACAGTCTACTCTATATGTCCAATTTCATTATGGGTATTTCTAAGCAACCCAAGTTTCTGCGGTACTCAGATGTAACAGAGTTACCATGATCCATACTAAGATGACCACAATGAGCATTTCTTTGGGTTTTTTGCACTTTCATGTTTCTTTCTTACTTTGGTTCTGGAAAAGCAATAAGGTTTGCACTGCTCTGTAAAAACATCACTTCATGTGCGTCTCTAAAGCAAACTCTGTGACACGGCTGCGTTTGCTCCTGACTTTGCCCGAGCCCCACTGACAGGCGTGACAGATCACATCGCTCTCCACAATCCCAGACAAAGCCCGAATGTTCGCTGCCCAAAGACACCATTCTTCGGGGACTCCTTTATTTGCCCACACAGGATTCTGTTGTTTACTAAAACAGAAACTAACAGCCAATATTTGTTCCTGTGAATTATCCAAACCTATGCACCAACCTACAGCTATACATTTTTTATGTATCGCTAGAACAAAACAGCTTTACAACTCAGAGCTTTAACTCGAAGAACCCCTATTGCTCTAACAAACCTCCTGACACGGGCATTTAAATCTAAATTGTCTGAAATACAAAGGCAGAAAAACAATTAGCAGGAATCCTTTCTGATTCTCCTTTTGCCAGGGATTCAGGTAATATTAATGGTTACATCAAAACGAATACAGGAGTAGCATTTTCATCCTTAATATTTTTACTTCTTTTTAACCAAAACCTTGGTTTTTTAACAAGGTGACCAAATATTAATAGATCACACAGATAACACTGGAAAGATCTGAGAATCAGTCTCTGGTTGTGGTTAAGGACAGTGATTCAACTCTAACAGTGTTTTTCTGGCCCGCTATCAGCGAAACTCATCTTTGTTTCCTATCTCAAGGACATTTTCTTCAATTTCTATATATTGTTACTTGGAATTTCAAGTATTGTGCATTAACTAGAAAACTGTTTCACAAGAAACTGCTTTGGAAAACTACCATCAGTTTCTACATAATCAGTACTTCTTTTTAAGAAAACTTCTAATTTATATCTCAGGAGTAAAATTAATGTGACCAGACAGCTTCAGGGCCTATGCTTCGCTGTACTGCTCCCCAAGACACAGCACCAGTGCAATGGTTCTTCCTAGGCTCTCACTGCTACAAAGCAGAATATGGAAGGCTAACAATAAAAACTCATTCGAGAGGCTCAAGATGAAATTGTCTCAGGAAGCTCATTAATCATCACCTCAGGAGAATGCAGTGAGCAATAAGGAAAACAACTGGAACATTTCAAAAGATACCAACCAGAAGCAAGCCTACTGTCAGCTCCTCAATATTCAGTATAGTGAATTACCAACATTCACTGTACCACTCACATGACAGTTTCCAGTGAAAACCTGCTACAGGTTTCACAAATCAAAGAACATACAAAATCCTTTGTGAAAGCTTGATGGGTGAGCCTGTATTTCCATATTTCCATAGTCTCTTCAAAGTTTGGGAGATAAGGAAGGCCAGGAGCAGGAAGAGGACCCTAGAAGGACTACTACCTCCTTTCAAATCCAGGCACCTACCAGCCTGCGGCTGATGGAAATGCGGGATCACTGAGTATGGTTTAGGGACATCTGGCAGAAAACTCCCCTCCTCCCCTTTTCTATTATGTGCACCAGAGGGGGTACTCTCCCTGGGATAGCTCCCCTCTTTTGCTTTCCTGGGAGGTCTTAGCAGACTGGTTATCTTCATTTATGTTAGCCAATATACAACATAAAGCATACAATAATAAGGTTAAAAAAAAAAAAGACAGGAAAAAAAAGAGAGAAAAATAGACAGGGCTGGAAGATAAAAAAGGTCTCTTCCATCCAAAAATTTAAATGTGGTATCAACATACTCAAGTTAGCACATGTTAACTAAAACATTTTCAAACACTAATGCAGATGTGACATGTAGCTTTAGCATAAACTAAACAGGCTGGATATCAGTGAGGGGCCTGAATTTTAGATCTGGGTTTATCCAACACCCTCCTACAGGAGGTAAGAGGAAATAGAACAAGCCCATCAATAGCAAGGAAAGAAAGCAAAAAAAAGAAAGACAGAGTAAACCAATATATTTCCTCCAGTCGGAAAGAGAAAGGAAGAAGTCTGATATCATCTCAAAAGACTGTTAGCAAAAGCACCACACAATAATGCAATACAGAACTCTTCAATGCACTTGTGACATGCAGATGTCTTGGTCAGGAAAGCATTTTCCTGGAATTTCTGGGTGTTGGTCTGGTATTTAAGTAACATTACAAAGACTCATTTTTAAAAACAATTTTAAAAGCACACCAGATCACATTTAAATGGGAGTCATTATTAGACTCATTACAATTGTAGAACAAAATTATGTTGCTTCTTCCACTGCATGTATTTTCATATTTGCATGTACCTCTAGCTCCAAACTGTATTACTGCAAATCTCAGCCAAAAGACTTTTCAGACAAGCATTGTATTAAAAGGCTTCATTAAATTGTAACACCAGGCATAATATACGTGTTCCAAATGCTGAGGGTTCCATTAATCCCATTTTGTGAATTTATGACTGCCTTCTGCTTCACTCAACTTTAAAATACCGAAACCTCTGTCTCCTCCGAAAATTCTGTGACATTTAACGTGAACTAGGCTGTTACTGGGGAATATCAGCATGTATATGATAACCGACCACATCCCTCTGCTGCCCGGCTTTAATTTCTTTTCAGAAATCAAGCTTTACTTCCAAGAAAAACTACTGCTTTCTGCATCCATAATCAGAAGCTCTGAAATGCTGAAAAAGACTTGCGCCCTCATTTTCCTTTCCAACGCAAGATACGCTTTCCTGGGTATTTTAACGAAACAGATGGTAGGTGCTAAGCCCCTGTACAGGGCTTTCTCGCTTACTTAATGTCAGCACACATCTAAATCGATCTATTCCTATTAGGTGCCTTTTGATGCCAAGCTGTTTCCGGGAGACCCTGCGGGATGCAGGGCACGGCCGGAGGAGCCCCAGAAGCAGGCGCTCCCGGTGCGCGGATGACACGGGATTACGCACCAGGAGAGACGACGCAATTACAAAACACCGAACCCGCATTCGCCTGCCCGTGCCCGCACGCAGGCGACCGCATCCGAGGCGGCGGGTTCTACCTTTCCACGCACGACACCCAGATCGTGCAGGGACAAGGACACACACACACACACACACATACAAACACGCACACACACACACTCAGACCCCCCGCCGCCCCCGGCACGGCCGAGGAGCCGAGCGCTCGCCCACCGCGACCGTCCGGCGGGAAGGACCGTCCCCTCCCGGACAAAGGCTGATGGGACGGGCGGCCGACCCCGGCTGGTGCCGCCGCTGTGCCCGGGGCTGAGCGGGGCCGGCGGCCCCAGCCTTACCTGCGGCGGGCGGGGGCGGCCGGTCGGCTCGTCCTGCTCCAGGGTGACGGCGCCGTCCCGCCAGACGCGGAGGTGCGCGGCCGCCGCCCCCGGCCTGCCGGCGGGGGTCTCTCCGCGGCGGGCGCGGGCGCGCAGCGAGGCGCAGCACTGGTACATACGGCCCACGCCTGCTCCTCGTTGATGGGCTGTTGTAGAGCCGCAGGATCTCCTCCACGACAGCGCCTCCGCTGCCCGCCGGACCCGCCGCGTCCTCCTCCTCTTCGCGCGGCAGGGCGGGAGGCGCCGGGCTGGGGCTCCATGCCCTGCGTCCGCCGCGGTGCTACTCGCTCAGTGACCGGCCCCGCCGCCGCGGCAGCGGCTGCTGCTTGCGCTGATGATGCTGCTGCTGCTGCTCGTGCTGCTGCCGCCCGGTCCCGCCGTGCTCATCCTCCCCGCCCCGCTAGTGCCACCAGGCCGCCGGACGGACAGCCCGGCCCGCGCGCAGGCAGGCAGGCAGGCAGGCAGGCAGGCAGGAAGGCTGGATCCAGGAACCAAGCGGGAGGAAGGCAAGCAGCAGAATCAGCGCCGGTCCGCCCGCCGCCGCCGCAGGGGGAGCGACAGCTCATAGCAACGCAATGGCGTCCCGTCCCCGCCCCCCCCGCCGCGCCCGGCGCCGCAGCGCCCCCTGCCGGCCGGCCGCTACGGCGGGAAGGACAAGGCGGGATTCACCCTCAGGGCTCCCACGGCAAGCAGCGCTCGGATCTCCTGGCCAGACGGTGGGCTTCCTCCCCTGCCCGAGACACGGACAGCAGTGTGGTGTTATCCCATAACCCTCGGGCCGCTCTTTCTGCGCCGGGTGTTGGTAACAACCCCCGCAGAAACGAACAACTCCCCCGCAACCCCAACTGTCAAACACTGACACCAACCCACATCATCACGGACACGGCGAAACGTATCAGCCAGACCCTGCTTTCGCAGCAGGAGGGTGGACTACTTTGAGTCCCAGGGTCTGCCCTCCCAACGTAAACACTTCCTCCGGGAAAGCTCCATTCTCGGCAGCAGCAAGGCTGGCAGCAGTTGAACCATCAGTCTGGAAAGGGAACAACAAGGGGAATCGTCTTCCAAGCAGCTGGGAACTGACGTCCCTGCCCCTAAACACACCTGGGCACCAGAAGGGCACAGCCCTTCGTGCCAAGGTTCTCCCCAGGTAAACGAGGAGAAAACCAGACTAAATAACCTAACACTCACACCGAACACGCAGTGGTTTTCTCTTTAGCATTTTCCCCCTCAGATGTTCGCACCCGCTCCACATGAGACTGGAGGGTGTGACGGGACAGCGCGGAGCAGTGCCCCCTGTCGCACAGTCGGGATAGCGCCCGGCTCCAGCCAGTCAGCTGCTCTCCCATTTCGCTTACCGCTCCTCAATCCCCTTTCACTTCCAGCTCTTCTAAACGCCGCAGCTTTTTCCCTCCTGCAGTGACATACGCGTGTGTAAAATACAGCGCTGTATATAAGATACAACTAGTACTTAAATAACGCTGTTAAATTTAGCGATATTCACCATGTAATAGGATCCAGCCTTTCATGTTACATTGGATACAATGAAAAAAAATCCTGTATGCTGTGTAACAGGCAAACGAATACATTTTGAAGGTATAAAAAGAAAGATAACACAAAAACAGATTTGTAAAGTTAGCAGCAGGGCCAGTAAGTACATAATGTACTACTAAAACTCCAAGTTAAAACCCCAGTGCTACACTTCTTGAAAAATAAAACAAAACAAAAACGGTGTCGCACTACCACACTGATGATTAAATGTACACACAAAATGCCAACATCCACTCCTGCTGTAGGTGCTACAAGCTTCTCTAGAATTAGTTAATTCTTTTTGCTCCAGCACCAGTAGAAAGAGTTGTCTCTCTCTTACACAAGTAGAATGAAAGGAGGTGGTTATGGGCTATCACAGACACAGAATGGCTTCTACAGAAGAAACCAAACAGTTTCAGATCTTCCAGCCTCATGGCTGTCTCCTGGAGTCCACATGGTGAAAAATCTGAGAGGCACGATATAGAGCTGTTCAGTAAGTCCAACTGCTTACCATTTTGCAAAGCATGAAGACTAAAAGATACTAAGCAAAATCATCATCCACAGGTTTAACACAGACAAAAACACAAATGGGTAATTAAGTTCAGATCTGAGTGTCAGAACTAGACAAAAACACGAATGGCTGCCAAACAAAATGGCCTGGCTACAACTTCTATCTCAGAAACTTCCTAAGCTAACATCAGAAAAAAGGCACCACTTCATCTAACCCATCACATGTTCAGGTATCCAAGTCTTAATATATATTTTAAAAAACAAAACCATAAATTACTAAATTCATAGATTAACAAGATTACCTGTGTCTGACTGAACTGTTCTCAGAAGCTGAATGTAGAAGTTACTGCTGTGTCCAACAGAAGCGCAAATAAATTTTTGTTGTAGAAAGGACATATGCTTAAATGTCAATATTACCGGATCTCAGTCACTCTCAAAGTATACCGTGGAGACTACAGGGAAAGGAGAGGTAGAATGGAGTTGCTTACTCTGCTGAGGTAAACCAGATTTATTTCTAAATGAACTCTAACACCAATTCAGAACTGCAAAAGAGAAGCCAGAATTTTATGCACGCATTTTAGTAAATTGACCCACTTTCCTATAATTATGAAAAGTAACTTTTATTGCAAAGAATAATAAATTTTCTTTATAAATACAATCATTACTGTGTACACAATCCCCTTCAATACACACACTGTGGTATTCAAAATCAGTGGCATTTATATAAAAGACAATACTAGTTTTCAATTGCAAAACTTTATACCCACATGCATTATTTTGCAGATCTGAAAATGTATGAATAATTTTGGGTTTTTTCAAAGGACAGAGCGGTATTTACAAGCAAACATGATCCAAACAGCACATGCAGATTCAGGGTATGTAAACACTCGTACACGAACTGCAAGTCGCACTTGGTCTCCCCTACAACAGATTATTTCTTCACAAAAAGGAGACCTGTATGACGAAAAAAAAAACAAGAGTAAGATATTATTAAAGCTTTCAATTACATAGTGCAATTTTTTTCCAATATGACTAACACTTAAGTAACAATGAGTTTCATGAGCCTATCATTACAAATAATATTATTATTCTATAGTGCAGGGGCTGTTGCCTTGGAGGAAAACAACACCACCACTGTCATTTTTAACAAGTACCAAGAAATCAAATTAACTTCTCATTCTGTAATTTAATCCACAAGAAGTCTATCATCAGTGAACTCACCAATGTAACCTAAAAGCTCTGTAGCCACTACACATACCATACAACTCTTCTTACAGCTCAAACCTAAGGAAATTAACTTTCTTTAAATTTCATTATTAAAAAAAATCTTTACATTTAAACTCACCGAAGACACGTAGCAAATGCTCTCCTGCCATTTCTGTGTACAAAATGGATAGGAAACCCTTTGAACGTGTGACCATCGGGTACTGCTCTTCTTATGGCATCTTGAAACTCTTCATTTCCTGCAGAAACACCTGTTGTGCGTTCAAGCTCATAGGCTGCTAATGCTGGTGACAACACATAGGAGAGCTGGTCATCCCAAACAGTAGAAAGGCCAAGATCCTGTGAGGCAAGTCACAGAATGATGACGACTGTGCAGAAGGAACATTAGGATATGCCTAAGCTTGCCTACTGAGTAGATTCAAATAAATACAAGAATCTTTAATTGGTAGTTAACAGCAGTGAACCCATGAAGCAGTACGATTTGTAGACTGACTCACACACCAAGCGGAAGAATCAAACATGACCAACAAAGTATCATACATTTAGCAAGGAATGAAGTTAGACTACTAGACTAAAACTTCAAGCCAGCAGAGTTGAAGTTAGATGTTTCAGCTACAGTATCTCTGAATGAAATGTAAGAAGAAATGCACAAATACACAGCAAAAATATGGAAAAGATCAACTACAATTCAACTCACTTTTTTTTAATGTCTCTCATGGAAAACCCTTTCTGAAAAAACAGTGCACAACAGCTCCCCAAAACACAAAGGCATGTACATGCACCTTCTTCCTACCAGCCCACAAATGCCAAGAAGTAGAAAAATTTACCATCCATGTATGTATTCAACACCGCATGAGACTCAATACTCTGATAATTGCTTGCCACCCCAAAGGTTGAGCATTGTGTGGGGAGAAAAACAAAAACAATGCAAAAACCCCACTAAAAACAGACATAAGCTAACAGACACTTAAAATATCAACGCCTTCACATCCAGCACAGAAAAGAGTCACTTCTGGCACATCACACCTTGTAAAAGTCCTGGTAAAGGATGAAACTAACTTCCAGAAATATCTCCAATTTTGTAAGGCAATTAGAGTAAGATGAAAGTCTGCTTTTATCAAGGGACCAAAAACATTTTTGCTGGATAGGCAAAGCCCACTAACAAACACATTAGATTTTCCTGGTGCTTTTACAGACCACTCAAAGACAGTTTGTAGCCCACACGTGAGGCTACAAATCACCGCTGCAAATAATAAGTATGATGTCTAAACCAGCTCAGTACAATCTTTCCAAACACTTTCTTCATTTGTTTCACTTTTCACATACCACATTTCTGCAAAAGCTGATGGAAAACACATTGCAAAGATACGAGTATGTGAACTAAGAAATGGCTATCCACAACAAGTACACAGTTAACACGTGGACCTTTATTACTGTGACAGATCAATGACAATCTTTCTTACCTTTCTGTGTTCAGAGACCAGTATTCTCAGCTGCAATTCCACCTCGTTGCTTGTTACTGCAGCATCTATCGCAGAAGCACACAGAGGAGGAAAAGGGGGAACTGAAGACGTTGCTCCAGGAGGGCATACGGATTTTATGGCTTCTCCACTCATGGGTTTCCATTTGGATTCATCGTGCAGGTCAAACACACAGACGTCCACAGCGTCAGAGGGCTGACAATTCCCAAAGAAATTCTGGTGGTTGAAGACACAACCTACTGTGCGATAAGGATACAGTGGCTTGGGTTGTTCGACTAGCGGTGGGTCATCAGGGTTGATAGGTCTGTGGATGTACCTAATCAAAAAGATTCAATTTCTTATTAATACACCTTATTTCAAGGCAAGGTAAAAATATTAAGAGGGGACAGATATAACCACTTCTCCTTTAAAAATACAAGCCACATTTCTTTTTTTCTCCAAAGATGGCATTAATTCGTTTACAGAAAAGTAATTATCCACATTTTGGAGGTATAATATACAATGAAAAAATAAATAAT